GCCGGGGGTCCCGGCCCTGGCCGAGGAGGAGAGTGCCATGAACTTCCCGGCCAACGCCAGCCAGGTGTCGGATGAGTACGTGTGTGCCGCCAACAAGCTCGTCCTGGAGCAGAGCCCCGCGCCTGCCGTGCGCTTCCTCTACCTGCCCCGGCCGCCCGCAGACACCAGCCTCTACCCGCTCTACCTGCACCACCTGGATTTGCTCACCAGGGACCTGGGCCCCACGGTGCTGGTGCATGGGGTGAGTGCCGTCACCAGCACCCAGCTCTAGGGGACACTGGGGGACCCCGTCCCCAGCACTCGTAGCTCAGGGATGGGCACCCTGCCCACTGCGGACTCCTGGGTTCTCATTCGGCCAGTGCCTTTAGCAGCCCGAGGCTGGGCACCGGGACACGGGGACGGGCGCTGGTGCCCTCCGGCTGGCAGTGACTCCTGCCCGGCTCAGGTGAGCCAGCCGGAGGAGCCAGGGCCCTGCCCGGCCATGCCAGGGGCTACCAGTGTGGACACAAGGGCTTGGCGGGGGCTTGCGTGTACCAAGACCTTGGTAGGTGGCACAATTAAAAGTTGCCCTGGCAGGACCGGGGCACAGCCCCCACACCGGACCCCTCAGTGCATTAAGGGTGCGTCGTCTTTGCGGTGGGTGATGGGCCCTTCCTAGGGGCGAGGGACACTCGTGTCCTGGGGAGCTCGGGCCCTGTGTGCCTCAGTTTCCCCAGGGGCAGGTACGATACCCCCAGCCTGGCTCCTGCGCCCGCAGCAGCCCCCGCGCTCCGCCGCCGCTCCCCCGCCTGCCGGCGCCCCGCTGATTAAAGGGCCTCGACCTTGGTGCCCCGGCTCCCCGCCATCCTCCGTGCCTTTCATTAGGGAAAATTAAATGGGAAGGGGTGGGGGAGGGGAGCCCGGACGCCTGGGCTCCCTCTGTGCTGCCTGCGGGGAGGGAGAAGGGGGAGCAAGGCGGGTGCGCTGGGTGCTGGTGCCGCCAGCCCTGGGCTCTGACACCCCCGTCCTTCCCCACCCCCTCCTGCTCCTGT